AGGTCTGAGCCCAAAAAAATAATAATTTTTATTATTTAGGCCTATTCGGGCAGCTCGAATAGGCTCGAGAAAATTTCAGCCAAGCTCGATCGGGTTTTGGCTTGGCTCGAATACCCAAATAAAAAAATAAATTTTTAAAAATATATATAATATAATAAATATTAATTATTTTTAAAGTTTTATATCATTTTATTCTAAAATACCATATATTTGTGTGTATTACTATAGTTATTTTAAAAAAATAAAAATAAAAATATTTTCTTATTTTTATCATTTTTAATCAAATGAAATATCTCAAAATAATAATTAAAATATATTTTAATATTTATTTTTATATTTTAAGACTCAATTTTTTTCAAAATAAAAGTTGAGCCATATGCACCATTTTCTTGGCCAAAAAATTATATTTTATATTTTTTATAAAATAAAATAATTAATTCTAAATTAAAAATAATTTTAAAAATAAAATTTGGGCATGTATGAATTCCTGACTCTACTACTAAACAAACATAATAAATAAAATAATATTTTTAAATAATTATTTAATTATCATCTATGCCAGACTTGGTTAAAAACTAAAAATAAACTAAAGTAAATACCTTTGTATATACTATATAGGGTTTAAATAATATAAAAAATTAAAAAAAAATTTTAAAAAATAGTGTTTTACTCATAATTAAATGATTTTTCATATAACATAATGATGGCTATTTTTTTCATATTCTTAAAAATAAAAAGTACAGTTTATTCAATAGTTATTAAAAAATTAAGCTAATCAGGGCAATGATTTTAAATTAGTGGTTTAACCGTAGTTGAATTGAGATTAACTTAATCATAATTAAAATAATATAATTTAATTAAAATTTATAAATATTTTTATATAACCATGATAAGGGTAATATTTAAACAAATAAGACATTAATTTATAAATAAAGAAAATATTCATGAATAAATTGCATATAATACAAAAAAATAATAATGGAACTATTTAAGTACTTAACTAAAAGTTAATAAGTTATTATTTTTTTATTCCTTTCAAGTTAAAATAATATTTCATGCTTAATAAAATTATTTAAAAATTAAAATTGATTAAAAAATAAATAAAAAATATTTTTTAAAAAAATTTTGGGTATTCGGGCTGGCCCAAATAAGCCCGAAGCTTGAAGATGTTATGGCTGGACTTGGATATATGAGCTTTTTAAAATGAGTAAAAATCTTTAAAGCCCGATTTGAATAAACCTAGCCCGAATTGAGCAAGGCTAAATTAGCCCAACCATCCAAATTATCGGCTCTATTCAATAGGACCCAAGTCCATGTATTCAATGCACCTGATATGCAAATTTTGACCTTTTCCTTTATTTTTCTATTTTGTCTAGATGTTTACTCCCACCTTCAATCTATACCATAACAATAATATCAGCAATCTTTAAAAAAAAAACTATAATCAACCTTTTATGCAAGATAATTACATCTGCTCTTTGACTAAATTCATCAACATCTTATAACTTAGGGATTTAGTTAAATACAAAATGTTAACAACATTTTCATAGCTAATTTCGCAAGCTAATTAACACATTCAATGTATCTTAGTTTGCAGAGAATGTATACTTCTTTGCAAATACTATGTTGGTGCCACATCAAAGATGATAACACCCCAACACAAGCTAATTAACACATTCAAATAGACTGTCATTAGCTTCCATAAAAATATGGTGTATGAGATTGTGTGTAAGACGCTACAACACATTTTCCAAAGTGTGAAATGTATAGGCTACTTCTACGTTTCAATTGTTTAGGAATGTGATTCACAGGACTTGGATGCCTTTCCAAAATAATAATAATAATAAAGCAAGAACCAAACAAATTGTCATTAGCTTCCTTAAAAATATGGTTCATGAGATACTACTAAAAAAAACACTTTTTATACTGTTTAAAAAGAAATTGATGTAAAAAGTAAGTAGTATATTTTCAGAAATAATTAAACTTGAGATGACACTTTTTACATTGATTCTATGTATAACTAATGTAAAAAAAAACTTACTATACTAATTAAACAAATAATCAATGTCAAAAGTTTGAAATTTTTTAAAATATATATATAAAATAAAAATGTGTTCTACATCAGGTGGCTTGCTACCTGGTGTAGAAAGTCATACATGTGTGTGTATAAAATAAAAAAATGTGTTCTACATTGGGTGGCTTGTTACCCGTGTAGAAAATTATACTTTTTTTGAAAAAATTAAAAAATATTATCCACAGTACACATCTAACTAGTGTGAAAAATGTCTTTATATTTTTTTAAAAAATATAAATTTCTACATCTGGGAGGGTCAACTTGGTGTAGAAAGTGTCTAAACAATTTTTTTTTAAATGTTTCTACACTAGGTGGGAGGTCTACCCATTGTAGAAAGTGTTGTAATTTTTTTTTAATGAAAAAGCACTTTCTACACTAGTATATAATGTTTTTAGATTTTTAAAAAAATATTGACATTTTACATAGGTTCTATTGATAACCAATATAGAAAATTCTTTCCACACTAGTTGTCATATGAATTGTTTAGAAAGTCTAATATTATTTTAAAAATACAAAAAATAAATTGACGGACTTTTTAAACGGGTTATTTTAAATGACCAATGTGGACTATTTTTCAAATTCTTAAAAAAGAGAAATTTAAAAAAATTAATGATTTCTACACCTCGTATTTAACATAACAAGTGTAAAAAGTTCAAAATAAATTTCTAAAATGATATTTTAAAAAATTAAGGGCTAAATTGTCATTTTACCTATAATAAAATATAATATGCTTATTATTTAATAATATATTATTTGACATAAATATTCATATATTATGTTTTAATAATATAATATATATTTAATTTTTATATAATAACTGCAAGTATATTTCAATTTAATTGACAAAGAAGGAAAGTTTAAGACTTAAAATATAAAAAATCATAAATTTAAGTTTTGACCTTGATATAAAAGTAACAATTATGTAACATAATAGCGGGTGGTAATGGGACAATGACATGGCATGAGGTGGTTGGACCTCTATATTGATTATGGAACTAGTATAAAAATATTTCTGCATCACAATTGCTTACAAATGTTATTTAGGGAGTTGGGCATTTTCTAAGGGTGGGAATAAGCTAGGCATCTAATAAGGACCTATAATTTAGTTTAGTTCAAGCCTAACCTAATCTACTTACTAAATAAGTTCAAGTCAGGTTCAAGCTTTAAATTTGGCTTATTTAATTAAATAGGTTAAGCTTATTTTTTCAAGATCTAGCTTACAGATCCAACAGGCCGACTTATTTACATATATATATATATATATATTATGTTTATATATATTATGTAATATATCTCACAAACATATTAGTTTCACCATTTATTTTTTATTTCTAATTATATTTTCAATAATATTAGACTTATATATTAGTTTTAATGTTATTACTTTATTGTTATATTGTATTATAGTTAGTAAGTTCTTTCAATTATTATATATTGTATTTAATAAATCATGTTATATATTATATACTATAATATTTTTTAAAGTATATTTAAAATATTTAAAACTAAAATGTGAACCTGTTTAAACTATTTTTTTTAAGTAGGCTTTTAAACAGGCTTTCAAGATAGGCCACGCTTTAGATAAGCTCAAGCTTGAATCATGAAAAAAACCTTACACAAATTTTAGGTCATGCTTAGGCCTTTGATTTAATATACAAATTCAAATTTATTTGACTAAAGTTTAGTTTGGTCTAGTTTATTTTCATCTCTAATATCTCTTATAAAAAAAATATCAAACAAACTGTTATTTGCTTCCTTAAAAATATGATCCATTTTTTTTTTTATTTTTAAAAAAACATGGCCCATGTCCCCATAAAATAATGTGTGTAACGCTCCCGACACACTTTCCAAAGCTTGAGATACATAGGTTACCAAACAGACTGTCATTTGCTTTCTTGAGAATATAGTTCATGAGATAGTGCGTGTAACGTCCCCTACACGCTTCCATTCTATTTATAAATTATTTTTATTAATTTTATTAATATTAATATAATAAAAATATAAAAAATAAAAATAATAAAATTTTAAACATAATCATCAAGTAAAAAGTAATAAATAAATAAATAATATAATATTTTTGTAATCTCTCTTTTTTACTTTTTAATAATAGTTAAAACATTTTGTTTAAAATAAAATATTACTATTAATTTAATAATTTATAAATTAAATCACTTTATTTATCTTTTTAGAATGAGTTCGATAAAGTAAATTGGAGGGAGTATAATTTAGGGGTTTGGACTTCTCTTTAAAAAAAGGCAGCACCAAGTAGACTGTTATTTTCTTTTTCAAAAACATGATCCCTGAGATGGCGTGTGTAACACTCCGGCACACTTTCTGAAGTGTGAAATGCACACGTTATTTGCTTGTCAATTGTTTAGAAACATGACTTGAAGGGTTTGGACACCTACCCCTTCCAAAATAAACGACAATACCAAACGGATTAACAATACCAAACGACATTACGATTTTCTCTAGTATTTAATACTTTTCATAATGGCTCGTCTTTTCAATTTTAATTTTTTTTAAAGATCATTAGCTTCTATAGATTATATTAGCTTCTACATAAAATAAAAGACATTTTAATTTCTTGATATTCCAAAACAGCAGAATTTTATTTTTTTTACAGATTTTCAAAGAAAAATATGTGTACTTTTTATACCATTTAATATTCATATCTTATAAAAAAAGATAAGAAACCTCCTATAAAATCCTTTGAAATGACAAAAGGAAAGTGATAAAAATAAATAAGGATGAACATCATATGACATGGAATTAAAGTTCCACCATAATATTTTCCTCCTCTCACTTTAAAGGATCCCGATTTGGATTCTGATATGATCTTATAAGGCTATCCCTCCTCCTTCTCATGAGATATTCAAACAGCCCCACAACACAAGCATGGCCATCATAACATAACAATAAGTTCTTTTGTGATTATTGGTTACAAACAGCACAAGTTTGTATTGGTTTATGCTTTGGAAACATTAATTAAACAATTAATTTATTGTCCTCCATTGACCGTTGCAGTATCAGCCCAATTGGATGCACTTCCAGTGCGAGGAATGCTGGGAATCCTTGAGAATAAATCCACCTGGAAATACACACTTGAGATGTTTCCCTTGTCATCTTCATGAGCCATGGCTCGAACCTTGTGAAGTGGGTGATCGAAACTTGTCAATCCACTTCCATTCATGAACATACACCCTGCAGTCATACATTCCAATACTCAACCACTAAACACAATGTGATGGACGAGTCACTGGTTTATAAATTGAATTTTTTAAAAGGGAAAGATTAAGAGTTTCAAACTAATTACCAGGAGGAAAAGGTGAAGAAGATTTTCCACAGCCGTGTCTTATGATGTTAGGGTCATCTGAGCAGACCAAAGATCCATCCTTTGCCATTCCCCATTCAAATTCCACATTTCCTTCTCGATCCTAGCATTGCCACCAACTTTATATGTTAAAACAGAACGCAAAAAATCTGACAGAAGGAAGATTTCTCAACTCCATAAAAAATAAGGTTGAAAGTACATTTTTAGTACTCTTTTTTTATATAATATTTTGATTTAATCTTTTAATTTTATAAAGTATTTTTTTAATCTTCCAATCTTTATACTATTTTAAATGATGATTTTTTTACTAATCATCACCATTTTAAAAAGTTAAACTTACCCTATTAACATTTGAGAATGTTTTGACTTTTAAAAGTTCAATATTGATATTCTTTTATTAATAAAATTAATAGTGTAAGTAGATGACTCAAAATACATTTTATAAAATTAAAGGTTTAAAATGAAACTTCCTATAAGGTTAAAGCATTTAAGGTATGCTTTAGTAAAAAAAAAAAAAATAAATAATAAGACACATCAAGCTTATCACAGAATTCATGCAAACTTTGAGTGAAATCCACTTTCAACTTATTCATATACCAATCCATGTTAGCTTAATCTACACACACAAAGCTTTGATTAGCTAGTTTTGGCAGACAAGGAAAAGGAAACCAGTTTTTGATATATGAGAACTCACTCTGGCTGCAAAAAGAGTGTTGGTTCTGTTATCAAAGATGATGAATGCGAATTTGCCATCAAGGTCTTTGACAACTTGATCAGGAGGATAAGGAGCTCGATCTCTCAGAACTTTGTAAGCTTCAACCACGATCATGGCTTCCGTGGCTTGCCTAGGCAGGCCATAGTAGTGCCTAAGATCAGCAACGTTCGCTAGAGTCCCTACAAATATGCAGAAGATATCGTCCATAACAAAAATGGACCTATCACATGCATACACATCAAAATAAGCAAATGAAAACACTAGGTTCAAACTGATGGATGAATATGACATACAGTAGCTCAGTTTAAAAACTCAAATAATTCATATTCTCGTTTTGGTTCGCAACATGTTTTTTTTATAAGCCTATAGCCTAGTTTAGTTTTCACCGCGCTTTCTGTGAAAAGGCCTAATGGGCAAAACCAAGTTTAGAACTTTAACCGTTTTTCTTGAACAAGGTCCATCATACAACACATACAAGAGAAGTGAGCAAACTTACAGGCACCTTGAGTGCACTGGATTTTCTTTTTCATTAGACAGAACCATAAAATTTCCCATAATTAGATAAATATTTTTCTTGCACAGATCCATTTCACAATAGTGCATACACAACATAAACAAGTGAGCAAAATTACAGACACCAGGAATGCATTGGATTTGTTCTTCATAAAACACGGCCATAAGATTCCAATGCTTAAGGGAAGATCTTTAAGCAATTGCCCTTTGCTAATCCATTTCACAGACCGTAAATACACATAATAAACACGAGTGGCAAAAGAACAGACACCTGACGTGCATTGGGCTTCTTATTGACAAACAGACCTAAAATTTCCATGCTTAAAGATTAAGAACTTCAAGCACTTTTTTGTCCAAATCTATTTCACAGAAAGTGAATAGAATAAAGATAAATGAGAAGTGAGCAAAATTACAGACACCTGGGGTGCATTGGATTTTCTTCTTGATGAGACAGAACCATGAAATTCCCATGCGGCAGGTTGTAAAGAGCAGAATCCGACCGCATCGACAGAAAAATCTCTAAGATTTCTCGTGGGGACTTAGAATTTTCCGACCCCGTGGAGGGAAGACCCAGCTCCACTGGAGGTTTTCCTGTGGCTTTTTCAAACACAGCCAACATCTTTTGGCGAGAAGTTCCTTCAACAAAAACTTGCAAAAACTTGAGGGCATGAAGGCCGTGAGCTTTTTTTCCACAAGAAATGTCAAGAAAAATTCAGAAGGCCGTAGACGAGTGGCAATGGAGAACCTGCATGTGGCAGCGAGAGGAAGGTGACAAGCGATTTGGAAGTGATACGTGTAATTGTTATGTGAAAAGAGCAGGGCGTTACATGCAAGGACGGTGCCAAAAGTTTTAAATCCTATTGTATTTATATAATGCTACATGGTACATGTCCATATACATATAACAAATCGTCAAAAAAAAAAAAAGGTTACTTCAAATTTATATCCCAGTTTTTAAATACAACTTTTTAGTTTTTCAGAATAAATTATATATTCATACAATTAAGGAAAAATTTTCAAGAAAGACCTCACCAGATTTCATTTTGTTGAGAAGGAATGGGATAGATTAAAAATTGAGGTCCTTCGGTGGCATTAATTTGAAGTTTCAAATTGACCAAAATGCCCTCACCAAATCCTCTCCCATCTCTCTGCCAGATTCCAATGCCCATCATGATATCCATCAACTTTTAGACCATCGACAACACTTCTTCCTCTCCTTATAGGACCATTCCTAGTGTTGGCCTCTTCAAAACCGCTCTTTGGCCTCTCTCTCCATATTCTATCATCATCGATTCCCACTCTCTTTGATAGATGACAAGATTCGTGTTTGCACTATCATAGTTCTATGCTATGATTTTCAAACTAACCCTCTTGCGTGTCGTTCGACATGGCTGAGAAGAGGAAGTTCATTGCTTCAAGCCTCGATGATGTAGATATAGCTATGAACTACCTTGAGTGTCAATTCCCAATTCTTGGTGCTAGTTTGATTTTGGGTTCAAACTAACTTTCTCTTTCTAATTGATATTGGGTTATGTATTTGCCTATTGTGATTATCTATTTCTTGCATGGAAATTGATATACTTGTTTACAAATCTTGATTGAAACTCTTGTTATACTTGCTTATCTATTAAGAAGCTTGAGGATTGTTATACCGACTTACAACTATATACATGTTACTTGACTCACTCCCATAGAAGTTGTGAGTGTACTATGCTTAAGATTGATGCCTTTATGCTGGTGGAATTATTGATCAATTTCAATTTCATCATTCACTTTTTTTTTTTGCCAATATTTCTTTTCTGCTATTTCCATCCTAGCTTTGTTATGGATTTTTGTCTTATGGTTTTGTGGACATTTCAACATAGTAAAGGCTTTTAAGCTTTTGATTTATCTATTAATTTGAAGACCGTTCATAAAGACTCTTTGATTTTGTCAACTATTTCTTATTTTTTATCTACCTTGTTTTCTCTTTATAGCTTATAACTATGAATGATGCTATTCAATTATTTCTTATTCAAGGATGAGATAGATTGACAAGAAAAGTTGCTTGGAAAAATTTTTCCTTAGGGGTTCTATTTTCCTTTCCCCTAAGAATGAAGGCTCTTTGAAATATATTTGCTTTTTTTAATAACAATTTAGTCCTTATTGTATGATAGAAACTTGTAATATTTTTTTTAATACATTGTTCTATTAAGTTTAATTTTCAAACTCATGTATGTGATGATAATGTGCTTTCCTTGTTGAAATACTGATGTTTCAAAGTTCATGATGTTGCTCCAATCTTTCCTTTAAAAGTGAAAGTTCTGTTTAAATGTTTTAAAGTCACCCTGATAAGACATTGGCATGTGTTCCAATGTACTTTTCTAATCAAACATTAAAATGGCAAATTACATCAAACATGCTCTTTAAAGTAAATTTTTAGTAGAAAATTTGTAATGTTTCAAACACATTTGGCATGAAAGACTTGAAGAAGATAGACGCATTGCAAATTTGAGAGAATTAAGAGGCAAGGACAAAGTGGTAAAAGAAGATGATATTGTTGGAGAAGAAGGTAGCATTGCAGGAGAAGAAGGCTAGGATGACTAGATTAGGAGAATTGTTAGGATGGGTCTTTTGGAAAATGTTCATGTTTATGAGCTTGTTTCCATTTGTAAAGCATATATAATTATGTGTATTGTAGGGTCACCCTTACTAATCTACCATTAACTTCAAAATTAAGGTAATCATGGGACTAACTTGATTGAATTACCAAATTTGTAAAATTTATATAAATGGGATTCCAAATTTTTAAAACATAACATGTTAAAAAAATCATTTCATAAAAAAAATTCAGAGGAAAACATGCATACGAAAGCATGGATATCATACAAGGTAATATAATATCAAATTGGGATCAAAAAAGCAAAAGTAGTGATTCTGCCATAATACATTGCAACATAAAATTTTATACTGTGGTATAAAATGCAAAAGCCCATAATTGTTGTCATGGCAGTTTTTTTGATCAAATTTTTGACATGCCTTAAATTTTCATCCGACGTCCGATTGAGGTGATGTGTTTACAAAAAGCTTTCTCTAAACTTTAACTAATAGCACTAGTTTTACATCAAATCATTTCTCAATCAAAAGTTGGATGCAAAAATGCAAACTTATATATTTATACTTTTAAAACATAATTAGGGTGTTCAAAATCACAACCAAGTGCCATAAGCTCACAACCACCCCTAGACCATACTCAATAAACTTAACAAGGCTTGTGCAACACATCACAATACTCCAATAACATGTACAACACATTTTCAACGCTCAACTCCTAATTTCATAAAACACAAGGGGAAGAAAATTCTTGTTCAAATCATTCATATTCACTAATAACAACTTAAAATATACTTTATATTACTTGGGCAAATATTTTAACCCTATATAAGGTTTTATAACTACAATTCACTAACTCAAGGCACAAAATACACAAATTGTACACAATAATAATGCAAGTACCTTAAAACAATCATATGATTCATAGTTGGCAAATTAACAACAATAATACACATAAACAACACAATGAGGCGTACAAGTAAGATTTACTCTACAATCCTAAGCCTTAGCACGTTTTTCCAATTTGAATCCAATGAGCTAGGCCTTAAAAATATTAAAAAATGAGAGGTGAGTATAATAACTCAATAACCAAGTTCCATGCAATCTATATAGTTGCATATCAATTAAAAATAAATGCAATTAGAAATAGAACACATATTTTTCACATATACAACAAACATAGCCATGGTCACAACAATGACAACCATATAACTGGCATTAAACACATGTCATCATGCATTTACCAATTATGCACAATATGAGGTTGCAAAACTAACAACCATACACTCCTAATATTTGTCGGACCATAATAATAATAATTATGTGGTCGAATTTAAATGTATGATCAATGCTAATCTTATACCCTCCTGTTACTTCTACTATAAAACCAGCGACTATTAAGTGGCTACATCTGTAACAAGGACTAACCCATTCTTCTACTGTGAGAAGCTATTGGGCCAGGGTTAACTCACTCAATTGTGTATTGCAATTTTCCTTAATACTAACAGCCCTAGGATATCGTACCCCTAAGCTAGCCTTCTCATAAAATGGTGGAGACTAGTTAGGTTCAAGCACCTTATAAAACAAGTAGAACGGTCCCAAATCAACTATGGAATAAAGGCTATCTCCTGATTTCAATGGTCGATACTAGGGTAAGCTTTCAATTCTAACGGTATGCTACCAATACCATGTGAGTTTACCAATCTACTCCTCTCCCTAAGCGAATTGTAGCCAATGATCATGCTATGCATAACTTACACATATTATGCAATCTAATCAACAATTCATCTTATATGAATTCACAAATCCTCACTCACATACTCATCATATTCTACATGTCAATTACCACATTTTCATTAATTTTTACAATGACATACCATTAGACATAATCATTAATCTCATATATGCATCATTTATAAGGTTTTTCATTTTTCCAAACTAATTTCACATATGTAGAACATTCATATTATTTACAACCATTCAACACAACTTTCAAAAATGCCAAACTTGAGTCAGAGAGTTCAAAATATTAATCATGTTTTCAAAACAACAATTTCAATTAATAAGTAATTAATATCTAACTATACAAAATAGATTTTGCCCGGTTACTTCAAATTTTTAAGAAGTCAAATGCTTACCCTTAATAAAAGCTCTTTAAAAGCTATACTAAAGCTTGGATGGTATACAAGATGATTAATCTACAATTAATCATACCAATCATTATTCATATCATCATAAACACTCTTCTAACTTTTATGAATCAATACTTTAGTTACCCAAAATTCTAATCTCTTATACTTAAGCATAACCATTAGGTTTATTAACTCCCATTAACTCTATTTAGCTTCCATTATCTTAAATAACCACTAATATAACACCCAACAATATAAAATCACACTTTAAAGGTCTAGAGTTCATTCAAAATAGATGACCCAAGCTTACAAGTTTGAAAAAATTTTAAATTATTTGTAGCATACTTAAACAACTCTCATTAGTCCTATTTTGACCAATGGGTTCAAACCCATAGTCTTAAATCTAAAAATCACCATCTCCCTACTTTAAATCTCACTTCCAAAACGTATAGAGGGAAGAAGAGATAAGGAAGGCATACCTAGGTGAAACCAAGCTTCAAACACCTCTAAAATGCCCAAAAGTTGATGCCTTAGTAGAGAAAATACTTAGTTAACCATCCCCTTACTGTTTTTGGTCTTACTCTCTGTTTTTTGAATTGACTTTGCATTAAAAAAAACTAGTTTATGAAGTTATGTTATAGCATAACGCACAATAGGTTAAAAATCTAATATCTCTATACAATTTAAGTCCGAGTGACCCAATTCACTTCCAAACCCAATCTAAAAGCTAAAGCTAAGGCCAATAGTAGTCTCTAACTATCCTCAAACCTAATTATACTTAACATTACATAATTACCCTATATTAGATTAATACATTATGGGAAATATTTTCTTTAGGATGTTACATGTATACACATTTAAGGGTATAGAATTCCACTTTTTGTAACTCTTATTTGTCTACATATTCAATTTCTTGCTTCAAGTGTTATTTTGCTTATAAGTAAATATTTGTTGGTGTTCAATTATTTTGCTACATGGTATTGGAAATTGTGCCCTAAGGCCAATCATTATACAATAAAAATTATTATTTAATGAATTTCTCTTTTGTTATTATATTAATTGCATGTTCACTATGATAATTGTATCCTTAAACAAATTATAGTGATTGTCTTAAATATCCCTGATCGGTCATCTATGAAGAATCATAGATGAAACAAGACTGGTGTGACTTTAATTAATTATAGAGATATAAATCAAAGTCGTAGGCACTTGAAAGGGTATAAAGTATTGGACTAACCCACTATGAGAAAACTGCGTGGTAAAAGTTATAAGTTTATCTCACATGTAACTATATTACTAAGCCCTTTGACTGAGATCATCATAGATTCTTACATGATAACAACTAAACTTTGACCTAGTCAAAAGTCACCTTTGACGAGTGATTATAAAGGCTATAATTGAGTTTAGTGATATTCATACAGAGGATTATGAGTTGTCAAGATGAAATTTATCCCTCATGTTAATTGAGATATATTACTGGGCCCCTCGATAAGTAAGACTGAAAAAATGTATAGACATAATAAAGTGAAAAAGGCTTTTTTATTATTATGTCAGTCCACTCAGAGATCGAGAAAGTAATGGCTAGGTAAAAGAGAATGATAATTTCATGTCTCACACTTGACCAAAATATCATGTGATAAAAGAGATGTGACATAGTTACATGAAAGATTACATTAGATCATCGATCCCTATATAAATTAAGTAGTTGCAATGTCTTACTAGAGGCCACTTGCTTGTAGGCTAATAGCCAACTTCATATGGGTTTACAGGGTCGCACATAAAAACAGCTCAACTCGAGCTATAATGTTTAAGTTCACTAAATCTGAAATATATGTAAATTCAATGAATGTAATATAGGATAAATGAATTACACACACACACACATTTAAATATTTATTTAATAAATATTTATATTTATATTTATATGAAATATAAAATTTAAAATCTAATTTATATATATATATATATTCGTGTGTGTGTGTATGATATATGAAATTAAATATAGTGTATATATATATATATACTTAAAATATGTGTGTGTGTGTGTGTATTCATGTATATATATAATATAATATGTATATGTGATATATATATATATATATTATTCTATTGTGTTAATTTTAAATTTAATTTTATATGATAGATTAAATTTAATAACTAACATGATATTGAAGAATATTATGTCATTTTATAATTTAAATTTATAAGATAAATTTAAATTAGATATGATATCATGGATTAAATTTATGAGATAAATTTAATTAACTTTTCATGGGTGCTTTAAGTAAAAGGTGAAAACCCTAATCTGTATACTATATATAGAGATGTGCTTTATGAAAGTAATAAGAGTTAGAAAAGTTCAGACAGTAAAACACTTTGAGGGCCATGAAACACCCTAGTAAAAAAGAAACTGATGTTCAAATACGAATGGACATTGAAAGCACTAACATGCTATTCAAGTTAGGAAACTATTCATGTGAATACCAGTAAAGGGAGCATATCTACATTATCAACTCGTGAGATCCAAATTCTTGAAGAGAATCCACTTCAAGAGCTCAAATTAAAAGGTAATTCTTCTATCCATTTAATTTAAACGAGTTCGTTCGGTGCACATGGGGATAGGGACTAAAAATTTAATCTTCTGCTGTGCCACCCTATCCAACATATGGAATGTAAAATAGATTTATCTTAAACTCAAAGTAAAGTGTAAAACATGAATCATGCATTATGTCAATGTGAAGGAACAAAGTTGCTCAACATATGAGTTTTTTTAAAATATGCATTTGCATTTTCAAAATATCCTTTAGTGTTTTCATGAAAAGTGAGCAAATTTTCATAATATTCATTTTTATTTTCAAAATATCCATTTTGTTTTTAGAATATGCATTTTTGATATCTTGAAAATATCACATTTGTCGAACCTGAAAAATGCGACGCAGACGATGCGAGAGCGGAGGTTCCGGCCTTCTAAAAGAATACCGAAGAAATGGGAGTCACCGCTAAAATTTTGAGAAAAATCTTGAAAAATCATTTAAAGAAGGATAAGAATGGTCTGCGAAAATAGAAAATATGTTCAGGAGTCGGTTGAGTGTAGGAAAGGTGCTAGGCACCCCACAACACCCGTTTATCAAAACGGTTACCTAAGTTTGTTGTGCTATATTAATATGATTTTAAAATTATTTTAATTATTCATTTTATATTCACGTGTTTGATATAAAATGATAAGAATTAAGTGAAAAATATTAATTTATTTATGAGGAAGGACTTAACTCAAAATCCAACTCTGAGGCCTACGTACCCTATGATGGGAATCAAAGTCCACGTAGTTCGAACGAAAGATTAATATCAATGGTTTTCTTTATTTATAATTTCCATAAAAAGAGAAGTTTAAACCAAAATAACTTATTAATTGCAAACAAAATAATTTTTTAATATGTGCTGTGTTTTAATTTGTAAAGATAATTTAGTTTCACTTTTTTACTCTCATTTTATATTTTGAAAATTTTTTTGTTATTATACTTTCTTTTATTTTAAAGATTTACTTCGTCAACATAGAAAAGTAATTTAAAAGAAAAAGTTTCTAATATACCTACGTAAATTTATTGTCACCCGTGGACATTCAAATTTTAATGCCTTTTAAAATTTTATATTTTCCTTACAATATGAAATTTTTCAATTATTTACACAATATTTTATTTTTCCATTTTTCTCATGCTACATATTGAAAAATTATTCAATAAAAATTCAATGTACCTATGGAGACTTATTGTCACTCATGGCAGTAGAATGAATTTGATGCATATAGTGACTTAACGTTACTCATAGCAGAAAAATGTAAGGTAAAAATAAATAAATAATTATTTATTATTTAATTGCATATCATGATTTAATTTATTATTATGTTTATTTCTTGTGAGTATGATCATTGTTATTATTAAAAGATAAAAAAAATATAAATGAATAATAAGGATTGTTTA